CTCCCCGGAGGCAGCGCCGCGTGGAGCGTCGGGGGAGCCCCGTTCTCTGCACGCAGGTAAGGGCTGCCCCGCACACCACCTCTGTCCCCTACCAACCCGGGGTTGGGGATCGGGACTCCAGGCACCCTCCCCCGCAACCTCCGTGCAACCCCGAGATTGGGAAAAGGACCCGCTTCCCCACCTCACTGCCAGTGCGGGTGGGGGCAGGGACCCCGGGCCTCCCCGCTGTCTGGCAGAAGCTCCCGGCAATGTAGTGCACGGGGTCCCCGGGGTCCCTACTTAGCATATCGGGAGACAGCCTTCTCCACCCACCAGCACTTTAACTCTGGAGCCCCGGGGCAGGGGGAAGAGGCACGAGGCAGGATACCTCCAGAACTTCCCCGGCCCTCGCCCAAGAGCTCCCTCCCTGCACATAGGACAAGCCCAGGACCCCCTCTAACTGACACTTTGGGGACCCTCCCCACTTTACGATGCTCCTGGCTTTTTTTCAGTACCCTGGCAATTTATTTCCCTTGAAGGAGAAAGACTGGGGTGGAGTTTCACAGACCCAGGGTCAGTGCGGGCCCCCAGGGACCTGGCATTTTGGACTGAGATGGGAGGAAGTCTCTGTCTTCCTGCCACTCTTCCAGGAGTAGGGAACATTCTCCTGGTGTTTCTGGGGTGTCCTCCAGTACTAGTGAGGGGGGCCTTTTACATGCAATGTCATCATTAATCCTTCAAGGTAATTTTTACCCTGAAGTAACAGGTAGTGTCATTGTCCCCATTTACCAGATGAGCAAATTGAGGCCCTAGAGAATTAACATACTCTTCTAGGCTCATTGGCCATAGAGCTGGGATTCGAATCTGTGTCTTTCTGGCCTTGATGACAAGATTTGAACCTGCCCAGTCCTGGATGTAGCCCCTGCCCCTGCCCCTGCTGGGGTCCCCTCTCAAAGGCCAGCCGCTGTTGTCTAAGGCAGACAATACAGAGTAGCCAGGCCTCTCCAGGCCTTTTCATCCCATTCAAAGGCCTGCCCGGCCCCCACCCCCTACGGCTTCAGTTCTTTAATTCCTTTCAGAAATTCCCCTTTCCCAGTGGTCAGGGGCCAGCATGCCCCTGCTGGGCTTGCAAGACCAGGTGACATGGGCAAGGCTGGAGGGCAGAGGTGGCAAAGGCGTCAGAGGCCAGAGGAGCAGTTGCCTGAGACAGGGACTGACTGATGGCAGATGTCAAAGCCACCACCATGCGGGCCGACCATACCTGACCCGGGCTGACATTTTACCTGTATCCATCGCTTCTGGGGTTTTCCTGACTGCCATGGGAGGCACACATTTTTATGGTCCTCATTTCAGAGAGGAGGAAGCTGAGGCTTAGAGAGGGCATGTGACCTGCTCAGGGCATGTTTGTGAACTCCCAGGGTCCTAGATGCTGTAATGACCAAGACTCTGAACTCAGAATTCCCAGTGTCAAACTCAGGATGATGGTTGAGAGGGCCTAAGGCCTGGGCTACCCTTCAGCCAGTTCACTGCAGCAGGGCCTCCCAGCCTGGCTTCCTTGCCCCCTAGGGCTTCCGGTGTGGGAGCAGGATGGTGACTGTCACCCCATCTATTCATACGAGGCTCACAGTGGCCTGAGCATCATGAAAGCCCTGTAGGCAATGCTGTTGCTCCTATTTTACAGATAAGAAGACTGAGGCCCAGAGAGGAGAGGTGGTACCTCAATCCAAAGCAGGCAGTTTCCAGAGACAGTGTTCTTGTCACCCCAGTGGCTCTCCTGGAGGAGGGAGAGCAGTGGTCAGCTTAGGGTGCTGGGAAAGGTTTGCAGGTCATGGTTAGGGATTAGGCGGCTGTGGCCTCAGATAGAGCAGGGTTTTATTCCTGACTCTTTCACCCACTCAGTGTGTGAGCCTGGCCGATCACTTCACTGCCCTGGGTCTCAGTTCCCCTCCCAGTTTCCTCACTGTGCCCCTCTTTCCTTCCCTTCATCCCTTGCTCATGGGTCTGCTCTGAGGACAGCCCCCCATGTGAAAGGACAGTGGTTCCTGCTATCACTAACATTAGGTGGGGGAAGGGACCCCTAGCCAGAGGAATCTGTGGTTCTCGGCTGCCAGGAACTCCCCTTGTGGCCCCATCCCAGCATCGCCGGAGACAGCATGGGGATGTCGCGCCCCATCAGCCCTCCCTCCACCCCCAGCCCGGCGCCCCAGGCGCCCCTTGGCAGCCGAGGGACCAGAGGCAGAAAAGAGGCTTTGTGCCTGGGGAGGGGGAGGCCCGGGAAGGCATCCAAAGGGCCGCCCCCAGGCCCAAGAATGTGGTAGGACTTTTTAGACCCCCGGAACCAGGGTGCCCGGGAGCTGTGCAGAGCTGCCTTGGCTTGTCTCTGCCCCATCTGCCCCCTGGTCCCTGGTGGGGCTGCTTCCTGCCCCTCTGAGGTCCCTTCAAGCCTGAATCAGGCCCGGTTCCTTTAAGGACCCAACTCAGCATCTCAGTGCTGTGGCTCTAGATTTGAAGCCATCCCTGGTGTCCTGGCCCAGGCCTTTCCCCCCTGCAGTCCTGGCTTCCTTCAGGCAAATCCAAGATTCAAGGAGAGTGGAGAATTTTCTTCCACAGCAGTTCCTCTCCTGGGACCTCAAATCCCAGCACTAAACCCATGGGGGTGACCTGGGCAGGTGACTTCTCTCAGAGCCTCAGTTTTCTCCTCTGTAAAATGCAGAGCCTAACAGTTCCTATCCCGAAGTAAAGGGGAGGGCCTTGTGCGGAAGGTGCGGTGCTGGTGTCCCTCAGGGAAGCACCTGGACCACAGCTGCCTGGTGTAGGGCCCGTTCACAGTCCAGGAACAAGAATTACCAATAGCCATCAGCGCTGTGCTCCGGGCTTTGAGTGAAACCTCCCCTGCTGGCAAGGGTTCTCTTGTTCCCATTTGCAGATGGACAAAGTGAGGCCCAGAGAGGGTCAGGGCCGTGTCGAAGGTCACCAAGTTAGGGAGCAGCAGACCAGGACTGGAGCTTCACCTCTGGTGTGAGGTTCTGGCTCTGTTCAGCTGCCCCCATCCTGTATGTCTTCTTTCTTTCCTCTGCTTTTCATAACGGCCCTTGGACCCCGGCCCGCTTCACTGCCTCCTGCAATTAGCCCCTATCACTGTTCCGGATCACAGCCCTGAGCCTCATGGAGACAAAGTCCCCTGGGCCCCTCGTGGCAGGGGGTGGAGGGCAGGTGGGGGGCCCTAGTGAGGGTGGCCGATGCCAGGCCGAGCTGGTCTGGCCTGTTTTCTCTCCTCCCAGTGGGCTGCCTCTGGGGGCCCAGGAGGTGCTGAGTGGGCAGAAGTGGCAGGCCCAGCAGAGACCTGCAGCCTGCTCCCAGCCCTTGCCATTGCCCCATCCCACGGGAGCTAACCCAGCCTCACCGGGTTCTCGGGCAGCTTGTCACCAACCATACCCCCGAAAAGAAGCTCCCAAGGGCAGCAGGAAGGACTGCGCCCATCTCTGGGAACCTGGGTCCTGGCTCCTCTGCCCAGGGCCACTGTTTGTTGTCAGTCATTCAGTCATTCAGCAAACCTCGTGCCCTCAGGCTGAGCCCCATACTGGCTTAGTCCCTGCCAGTGCCCTCTCCCAGCACCTTCTGGAGAGGAAAAAGCTCAGGGCTGCTGTGAGTGGCTGAGGAGGGCCCCTGCAGTTGCCCAACTGTGCCCGGGACCTCAGGACTGAGACCCAAAGGATGAATAGGAGTTTGCTGGGCAGGGGAAGGGCTTTCCAGGCAGAAGGAATCTTGAATGCAAAGATCTGAGATGGGAAAACATGCACACAGGAGGGAGGGCAGGAGGGTGGAAAAGCAGCCACACAAGTGTGACAGACAGAGCATCAGCACTTGCAGGGCGATGGGCTGTGGACTCCAGGCCAGCAGAGCCCCGGAAAGTAGACGGACAGGTGGGAGGGCGGTGGAGCCAGGCCAGGACACGTACAGACGTATCCTGGGGATAGTGGGGCTGCATCTTCAAGGCCAGTGAGGGAGGGGCATAGTTATTGGTGCCCTACCCCAACGTGGAGGGCATGAGGGGCTGACCTTGAACCCTACCTGATCTGAGTGTCTAAAATGTCTGCTAGCCAGAAAAAAAAAGTCTGCTAGCCAGCCCCTAGCTCCATGTCTCCCAAGCAGGCACAGTATGACACAGAACAGTACAGGGACTTCCCCAGAGCCGCATAGCGAGTGTGTCGACTGGTCCCCTCCAAGGACTCTCCTTCAGGTGGGCCAGGGTTGGGGCGGAGCAGCAGCTGGGGGCTGGGTTTAGGTGGTGGTGGGCACCCCCATGATGGCTGGGACATTCCAGGTGCTCACCAGCCCTCAGCCCTGCACGGGGTCACGGGCCTGCGTGTTTTGCCAGGGCTGGGAAAGGAGAGGCCGTTTCAGGTGACCCTTCTCAGCTTGAGCCCCCACCCCACCAGACTTTCCTTTGTGGCCTGGAGCCTGGGGTCAGCAGGTTCCCAGGCTGGGGACTTCACAGAGCCACAGACCGTGGCTCAGGAGGTGGGGAGGAGACAGGATCTGAGGCCTCTGGCATGGAGTCGGGGGCTGGGCTGAGCCCCTACATTCCTGGGTTAAAATCCAGTCCGCCATGCACCAGCTCTGTGACATGAAAAGTTGTCTTCCCTCCCTGAGCCTCAGTTTACCCCTCTGTTAAATGGGAATGGGGTGGGGTGGTGCTTTCCTGGCTCACTAATGTGGGAAGGTGATGTAAATACTTTTGGCATGCAGTAGGTGCTCAATATGTGCAGTGCACAGTGATTATTAGTTGGCATTTGGAGAAGTCAGTCCTCCACACTTGGAATGTTGATTGTGCATCCTGTCACACAGAGGGACCTGAAGATAAGTGAGACAGGGCGTCTCTCTTACATGCCATGGGGAGGGAGGTGGTAGACGTGAATCACCAGCTCAATTCAGCATGTCAGGTATACAGAGCATTGCGGATCCGGGGCAGGGAACCATCAGTTCTGCTCAGATGGGGGTGGAAGTGGGAGAGGACAAAGGGAGAGGTGACAGCACAGCAGGACTTTGAAGGGAGGAGGTGCCACCTGGGGAGGTGGGGGAAGGGTGCTTCAGGTAGCAGGCCCTGCACGAGCGAAGACCTGGAGGTGAGGGATCCCCGACAAGTGTGGGCACAGGAGACATGGAGGGCTGAGGGTGGGGATAGGCAAGGGACACGGCCAGGTTTCCATTGTCTGACCCTCCATCTGGGGGGAGACTGAGGGGCAAGGTGGAGGGGCCACTGCCGTTGTCTAGGTGGGAGGCTGGGGCAGTGGTGGCCTGGGCAGGTGAGGGCTGGAGAGATGTTGCAGAGGAAGAGCCCCAGTGAAAATGCCGTGCTTCCATGTGCCTCTGCCGCTCATTCCCCAAGACCCCCCAGCACAGCCGCCCCCGCTGAAATCACTGCTCAGCCATGGTAGCACAGGGACTCCCACGAGGGCCCAGGGGACTCTGAGAGCTCAGTGGTCTCTCTGCCTGGAGACGTGGGGCTCCTGAAGAGAACACGGGGGTGTGTGTGGCACCTGAGCGTCTTCTCTGTGGGTCTATTTCAGGAACTGGTGCTCATACGTGGTGACCCGCACCGTGTCGTGCCATGTGCAGAATGGCACCTACCTTCAGCGAGTGCTGCAGAATTGCCCCTGGCCTATGAGCTGCCCTGGGAACAGGTAAGTGAGACCATGTGGAGAAGGAGCTGCTGGCGTTCCTGGTGGGGGCACAGCCTAGTCCCAGTGTTGGTGCTGGGGTGGCATCGGGAGTGCAGGGGAAGCCTGGGACCCCAAGAGTGGGTGGACAGAGGAACCATTGCCCATTGGCCATTCTCGGCACCTCCCCTTGTGCGCTTGGGCCACCCTGGAGGGCTTCCTGGAGGAGAGATTCCACCATTCACCCACACGCCTTTACTTAGTGAGCATTTACCGCTGGGAACAGCTCATGAGGGCTTCCTGTCCAGTTGGTCTCTAGATCCCCTCGGCTGAGGACTGGGGAGAGGATGGGCGGGCTGAACCCCAGAATGCAGGTGGAAAGAGGCTCCAGAGGGGGATAGAGGTGGCAGAGGACCCTGAAGGCTCTGGGCTTGTCCTCATGGACAGTGGGAGAGATGGTGGAAGGCCCTGTCTGAGCCAGGCCACCTGGGCACTCTTTCAGCTACAGGACCGTGGTGAGACCCACATACAAGGTGATGTACAAGACGGTGACGGCCCGCGAGTGGAGGTGCTGCCCCGGGTACTCGGGGGCAAGCTGCGAGGAAGGTAGGATTGCCCTGTGGTGCGAGCTGGGTGCCTCTTCTCAGCCGATCGGTGCTGTGGGACACAGTGCCACGCGTGCCAGGCCCACTGCACAGAGCTACCGGTGAGACGCAGCCCGGCCTCCATGGGTGTCTGCTGTCCCACGGGTGTCGACCGCCTGCCTTTTGGGGGATTGTGAGAACCCCTGGAGGAGGTTCCATACATGCTGTGTCGTGTACATCTTAAGTCGCACATCCCAAGCCTTTCCTCCAAATTTGAGGAAAGCCGATGTGGACGTTTCCATGGGAGGTGGTAACACTTCAGGGAAGCAAAGCACCACTTGTCGGGGCAGTGGGTCAGCAAGGGGAGGGTTACGCCCATCCTGCAGGTGAGAAACCGAGGCTTGGGATAAGTGGCAGGATTAGATCCCAGGTCTGCCTGGCTTCCCCCAGGCCCTCAGGGATGGGAGGACTCTGCTGGGCACCCTGTGTGTGGAGTGTGTCCCAGGCAGAGTTTCTGTGTGCAGCTCGGATGCCCTGGGGCCGAGCACCCAGGAGGGGCACAGAGGAGGCAGCCGGCACCTCCCGGAGCCTGGCCACACAGTTACCCAGAGAGCCGTCTCCTCCCATTGGCTCCTGGGCAGCTGCCTCTGCTGAGCAGTCCAGGCTGCATCCACCCTCACTGTCGGGCTGAACCCCGTGAGTGGAAGATTTGGGGCAACAAGGACTGTGCTCCCAAGAATGGCCATAAAGAGGATGGACTGGCCACAGCCAGCCTGAGAACCAGGCCTGTGGGCCCCTCAATGGAAAGAGGCATTCAGGTCCCCAGGCAGCACGTGAATGTGAACGTTGGTTGAAAGGTACATTATGATTCCAGGAACAAGAACGAGTAAAACGGCTTACAAATTGAGACAGCAGGTGCTGCCAGAACCATTCATGGGTGCTTCTTGAGAGATTACATGCTTCACCCTCCAGGACCCTACTACAGCCCCAGTTCACAGATGGGGTGGCAGAGGCCCAGAGAGGTGGTCGCATGCCCAGAGTCAGATGGGGTAGGGGGCAGACGGACCACAGAGTGGGGCGGGGTGGGGGCCTAGCAGTTTCCATGTTGCGGGGGACTAGAGACAGAGGAGAGCTGCCCGATGCCCAGCGGGGGTCCCATACAGAGAGGCAGCCACCAAGGTGGGTGTGGGAGGATGGAAAACAGAGGGGAAGGCAGTGGGCCCTTGGAACAGGAGAGGAGCCAGCCAGGAGGGGCTGGTGGTGAGGAGGGGGCGGGTCCTCACCCCCCTGGTGCAGAGCAGGGCCTGCCTAGACATAGGCCACTCTGCCCCTGGCTCCCCTCCCAAGGGCAGACCTTCGCCGGTGGGGCCATCAGTGCAGGTGTGGTGAGAGGACAGGTGGGGGCAGCACAGGTGCCCTTGAGTCCAGCAGCTGGAGGCCATTTGTCCAGGAGCCAAGCTAAAGGCCAGGGCTCTGCTGATGGTGAGGTGAGGGTGCAAGACGAGGACTGGGGACAGGCCAGCCCCGAAGTCTCCCTCTGCAGGGTCTTGAGGGCTTCGCGGGCCAGGCCAGCTGCACTGCACACCAGCTGTGTGGCCTTGGGCGGGGGACTCCCCGTGCCATGTGCAAGTCGTGCAAGGGCATCGGGCTGGGGGCTGGGGGCTGGGGAGGCTGCAGTTCAGGCGGTGCCCGTCTTGTGCCCACTTGGAGGGAGGGGCAAGTTCCCTAAGGGTCACCACGCAACCTTGTGCTCTTGCAACAGTGCGGGGCTCTCCTGCACTGAGCCTCAGTGTCCTCACCTGTGAAATGGGCAGGATCATATCGTCTCCCTCCCAGGGACATTGCAGGAATGAAATGAAGCAGAAAAGACCCTGCAGGTGGTGTGGCAGCCGAGGTGGACAGCACATGATATCCAGTGGGACAAGAAGGGCCTCTTCCCCAGCTGCAGGTCGGAGCTGAGTAAAGGGATGCCCAGGCCTCGATATTCTGGAAAACCACTCTGGAAAACCCATCCCCTAGGAATGGGCAGGCGGGGAAGCATGAGGACACTGCTGACCCATGCCTGGCCTTGCTCTTCCTACAACAGCCAGCTCCAGGCTTGGCTTCCCCAACTGTTTCCCTTGCTGGTGACTGCCCTCTTGGTCTGTCCAGTGCTGTGACATGACCTGGGGCCAAAGAGCTGCATCACCAGAGGCAACAGGGCCCCAAGTGAGCCAAAGAGGGAAAGGGAACGTCTGTCATTCCACAATCCAGCCTTGGATCAGCTGTGCTCTGCTGTGTGACCTGGGGCAAGCCCTTCACCACTCTGAACCCCGTCTCTATCTGGACCAGAGACTCACCTCCACCGTTGCTACTTAATAAATGTCTTCCTCTCCCCTTCAGCCCCCTGTGCTGGGTATTCTGCCCTGCTTCCCACCTCTGAGACCCCACTTCTCAGTCAGCTGCTCAGCAAACAGGCCTCTAGTCTCTAGATTTGATGTTCATGAGGCCAGTTTTCCATCTGCATAATGGGAATGTTGATTCTGCGATGATGAGTGAGGATGGGCTCTGATGTTCATGACAACCATGAGGAAGGGGCTAGAATGGGCCTCTTTTTACAGGTGGAGAAACGAGGCTCAGAGAGGCGAGGGGGCTGGCCTGGGGCCACTCAGCACGTGAGAGCTAGGACTGGGACCAGCCTGAGTCCATCTGTCAGTGCCTCTGGGCCTTGGGACGTGGGGCTGGATGGCAGAGAGGGTGACTGGCTGAGGCTGTCACCTGGCTGTCCACTCCTACCAGAAACAACAGGCGAGGAAAGGCCAAGGCCAAAATGTGTCATGTGGGCTGTCCTGACCCACTCAGTGGCCTGGGCTGTTGGGCTCTTCTAAGGGCAGGACTGTAGTGGCCACCATGTCACCCTGCTTCTGGGTGACATGATCTCTCACCCATTAGCCCCATTGTCCAGATAATGAAAGTGAGGCTCAGAGAGGGTATGGGTCTCACACAAGGTCACACAGCAAGCAAGCATTGTGGGCAGGATTCTCTCAAGTGCTTGGACCCGAGGTCTGCAGCGTACCCCTTCCTCAGACCCTTCTGCGGTCATAATGATGAGAGGGAGGAGAGCGGCTGCCTCCTCCATGCTGGGCACATGATTTGTCCTTGCCTCGGCCTCTCCGCTGTCCAGGGCCGGCCCTTCCTGCAGCATCTTTGGTGCTCTAACCAGATGCCAGGTGCGGTGCCTTCCTGTACAGATTCAGAATCCCGCAGGTTTAACACTGCACGAATCTGCCATATCTGCCACCCTGCTGGAAGGCTCGGTGGCCCTCACCTCCAACCCCTGCCAGTGCATCCTCCACCCCCCCCAGCCAGGGGGGCTCCCCTCTCCACCCTCCCCGCTCCCCAGCTATGTGCCCCAGCCCTGCCCTCACTCCATTTTAGCCCTGGTCACACTGTCCTTCTCTTCCAGCCCTCAGCCTGCGCAGTGGCTGTCCTCTCTGCCTGCGACCTTCCTGAGCTCCCACGTGGCTCCAGGGGCCCCCACCCTTCCCCCACTACTTCCGTCTCTCTGGTTCCTGGCACGGGTCTGGCGTTAGGTGGGTGCAAGGGAAACGAGTGGGAACTTCATTTTACCCCAAGGAGGACCAGGACAGACACAGCCTGGGGCTTCCCAGAGGGCTGCTGGAGGGTTTGTGGAGCTCCCAGCCCCAGCCCCAGCCCTGAGCCCTGGCTCAGGCCAACAGCAGCAAATATTTACATTTGCAAAGTAAATTCCCAGGAAGGGAGCTAGGCTGGGTCAGGCGAGGTTGTGCCCATGTGGCCTGTGGTCAGTGGATCCAGCAGACCTCGGGCGAGGGTCATGAAGGAGCAAGCCCCTTGGAGAGGAAGTCAGAAATGGAGCCCGGGGAAACCCCCCAACTTCTCACAGCCGTCCCCAGCTGAGGGTGAGATTTGAATCCCGTGCCCTGCTCTCCCATCCCCCACCCTTCTCCTGCTGTGTGGACCACCAGCCTCTCGTCTCTGGGCCTCAGTGTTCTCATGAGGATCCTTTGAGAAGGGGCATGAGACACTGGGCAGAGGGAAGGACGGATGCTTATAGGGGCACAGGGCTAGAGACTGCAGATGGCTTTGTGGAGGTCAAGTTGGAGTGATGAGAGCTTTGGTGGGGGGTGGTCTTTGGCGGGTTCCCTGGTCTGTCTGGGAAGGCTTCCTGGAGGAGGTGACATGGGAGCAGCAACTGTGGGGTTGGGAGTGGGAGGCAGCGTGTGTGTGTGTGTGTGTGTGTGTGTGTGTGTGTGTGGGGTTGGGGTAGGTGGGAGGCGCGAGCGTGTGTGTGTGTGTGTGTGTGTGTGTGTGTGTGTGTGTGTGAGGGGATGGCCAGGACCTCCCAGGTGGTGGGAAGTGGCCCACAGGGTCCCAGAATGGAGCCGGGGTTTGTGGTCCTAGAACTAACTGGGAGCTCCTTGGAGGGCAAGGTTGGGGGTGGGGAGGGACCCTAAAGGGAGGACTACCAGGCCAGGGTGAAGGGGGCTCTCAGCCACTGGGGCCTGCTCCGGGGGCCCCGACTCAACACCGCTGGGAGGGCTGTGACATTTTTGTCCCTTACGAGACCTCCCCCAGCCCTAGGCTTTTCCCCTACTGGAATTTTGTGCGGTATTGGACCATTTACAATCTGGTTCAGCCCCTAAAGTATTTCTGTTTGTTTATCAGAATTTGGGGGAGTTTGGGGATTTTTGTGAATCCTGAATCCAGAGCCAGCTTTTCTGTGGTCTTTTTGACAGTTTTTGTTATTTCTTTAAACTTTTTTTCTTGTTTATAAAATTTGAACTCGCAATTTCTTTGCACTGCTGGTCAGGCCATGTTTTCATTAGTTTTTCTAGTTCTCTCTGGTTCCCAGTGAAATGTCCCAAAGCAAATGGGTTGAAAAAGAATTTCCAACCACAAGTTCACAAATTAATAACTCAGGGACACCCCATTGTGACGTTAGAACACTTATACTCATTTTCAACCGTTGTGTCTGCTGTCCACATTATTTTGCCTTTAATTTTGTTTGCTTGTTTTAAATTCATTTTCTGCCAATGATTCATGCATTCATCAACAAAAGGTTTATTGAGGCCTCTGAGGCCCTACTGCGCGCCGGGCACTTTTCCCAGTCAAGGGAAATATGGCCGAAGTCCCTGCCTGGTGGGGCTCCTGTTCCAGCCAGGGGGGCGGAAGACCAGACTGGGGAGCTGGCACAGCACATGCATGTCGGGGGTGCAGAGTGCCGTGGAAAAAGGACAGCGGGGCGGGCAGGGCGGATGCTTCGCCAAACTTCATCTCAGAGAAAACCCCAACTTCCACGGGGCTGGAGGGACGGCCACTTGCTTCGTTTGGTCAACTTCCTGAAAAGAGCCATCAAATGGCCTTTTACATCTTCACTTGGGAGCAGAGAGGATGGGGCTGGGCTTCTCAGGAGCCAGTGTTCCTGACGGGCGCCGGGTCACCCTGTCCCTGCCCAGTGGGACTTAGGGACTGACTCCTGGTGCCAGGCGGCCCAGGAGAGAGGAGGCTGGACCGGAACTCCTGGGTTCCAATCCAGGCTCCAGCCTTCATCACCTGGGCTCCTGGTCACTTCATTGCCTTGTTTCCCTGAAGGGAAATATTTATATTCACTCATCCACTTACTTGATCATGAGGGACACAGGACTGGTGATACCGAAGTGGTCAGTGCCTCAGTTTCCTGATCTGTAAAGCGGAGGTGACACTAGCACTCACTCATGGAGCTTTGTGAGTTGAGGCTGTGTATGAGACGTGCTCAGGATGGGCTGGGCCCAGAGCAAGCACTAAACAAGCATTGGCTGCTACTATTATTATTATCCACCTTGTGGGATCGGGCTGGGCCCCGAGGAGCACTGGCACCAGGCATGGCTCCCAGTGGCATAGCACCCCCAACACACACCATCCCCCGTCCCCGTCCTGGGCTGCCAGCCCACTGCCTCCGTGGGTTTACTCCCTGCGAGGGGGCAAGTCGCAGGCCCCTAGGGAGGGGTTGCTGGGGCTGCGGGCCCAGCCTGAGCGAAGGCCCCGTGGTGGGACCCCGAGAGGGCCTGGCAGCCTCCCCTCTGGGGGCTGGCCAGAGGGACCCGTCTGGTTTGAGTTCCCGGCGCCTCTCTCTCCCTGCACTAAGCCACAGGCTGGCTCTGAGCTGCCAGGCCCATGCCTTATTTGGGCCTTGTCTCCCCCCAGGCGACACTTCGTGGCCTTAAAAGGCAGGCCTGGGGGGGTGCAGAGGGGGGCAATTGTCACTGCTGGCTTCAGAGCCCCTCCAGCTGCGCCCCCACCCCTGGCTTGTCTAGCCCAAGCCTCCAGCTGTGGAGAAAGCCAGGCTTCCAAAGCCTGACCAGCCAGGGCGGCCTGCTCCTCACAGGGGTGGTGGCAGGGGTGGGCTCCGGGAACGGCCCCCCCCCGCCATGCCCTCCCAGGCAGCCAGCCTCCCTCTGGTTTTCATTTAAAACCAGGGCTGGATCCACTTGGGTGTCTTCTTACCCAAGTGGGGCAGAGAGAGGGTGGACGTGGCTGCGGTACTGAGTGCCTACTGCGTGTCAGGCCCTGCGTGCGCACAGTGGGCCCTTTGCACGTATCGCTGTCCTCAGGCGTCATGCCAATTGGAGGCGTAGAGGCCTTCTGACCCCTTGTAGAGATGTTCAGAGAGGGCAAGTCGCACGGGTCAGCAAGTGGTGGGGTGGGGCCCCAACCTTGCATCTCCTCTCTCTAAGCTCTTAATCCATGCAGCTGGCTAGGGTTGCTTGGGAAGCCCCCACCCACTGCCAGCCCCTCTCCCAGGCCCATCAGGTTGACAGCCATGTTCCAGCTCAGCCCAGTTCATGCTGTGTGACACAGGTAAACTTCCCCACCTCTCTGGGCCTCTGTCTCCCTCTGCACTAAGGGGAATACGGATCCCTGCTGCAGCTACAGTGGCAGGTGGGAGAGTGGGGGGTGGACAAAATGAAGCGTCACAGCCAGCAGGGTGCTTATCCTCACTGTCCCTCAGTTTCAGGCTCCTCTGGCTTCGTGGAGCCCGGGTGGCCGGGCAGTGCCATGCGGCGGATGGCACTTCAGCCCACAGCCTTCTCAGGTGGGTCCTGGGGCAGCTGATTGGGGTCCCTCTGGACTAGGGGAGACCTGGAAGGGCTGGTGGTGACCGTCCTAAAAGCCATCTGGGCCCAGCAGTGGAGGGTCAGGGACAGCGCCCTGCCCTGGTCCACACCAGGCTGGAAAGAAAACTTTGAGGGGGAGGAAGAGGAAGGGCCCTCAAGGGGAGTCCAACCTGGGCCCAGGCACCCCGAGACACAGGACCCCCAGAATCTTTCAGACACTGATGGAGCTTTCTATTGTCAATGCGTTTAAACCTCACAGTGTACCCCCACCCCAGGAAGGCATCATTGTCCCCACTTTAAAGAGGGGGAAGCTGAGGGTTTGAGAGGGGACATGCCCTTCCCGAGGCCCCACACCCAGGAAGGGGCAGCGCTGGGACTTGACCCCTGGCTTCGTGCCTGTCATTCCACCCTCGCTGTGAGCTCAGCATCCCCAGGTGTGAATGGGGGTGACACTGATCCTAACATGCAGGGTCGTGGTGGGAACCAAAGAGATGAGCTTGTGGAGGGCCTGGCTGGTGCCTGGCATTCTTACAAATAACTTAGGGGTATCGCTGAGGAGGCCAGAAGAGCTGGATGGTGGTTCTGGAGGAGGGTCAGAGGGTGGCACCTCTGAGGCCACCCCAGTCTGGACTGTGATGTGCGGTCCCCAAAGCCGGCAAGCCGAGGCCAGCCCTGCCCAGGTGGGAAGCAACAGGCTTTCCCACCCTGGCTTCTGGAAAAGGGGTCCCTGGGATGAGGAGGCTGCCAGGAGTCGGTCCCATCCCTGGTCCTGCTCTGGGAGAAACAGTCCCCTCTGGGCGCCATAGCCAAGGACCCTTGCAGGACATGGCCCACCCTAGACAGGCTGTGGCTCTATAGCCTCTTCCCTGCGATGGGCTCTCTTATGGGTTGGGGTCATCAGGTATCTGTCCTCTCCCACCATCCCGCGCCCAGGGGCTGAGGGGCTCCGAGCGGAACCCAGGAGCCCCGGCCCAGCCTCCTCCCTCCCCATAGGTTGTCTCAACTGCAGCAAAGTGTCGGAGCTGACGGAGCGGCTGAAGGTGCTGGAGGCCAAGGTGGGTGAGCAGTGTTCCTGCCAGGAGGCACCACCCTCCCGTTGGTTCCTATCTCGCTTTTTCAGCCTTCCCTCCAGGGAAGCCTGCTCACAGCCAGACAGCCTGGCCTGCTCTTCCTCCAGGCGCCCCATCCCCGTCCCAACCAGAGACGCATGGCTGGGTCCCCTCCGTGCCCTGTCCTCCCCAAAATGCCATCTTCCCTGTCATCTATTGCACATCTCAAATTATTTCCAGATGAAAAGTTCTTAACAATTCAAACGAAAGACATTCTATGTTTAGAAACATGAAAAACTCAGAACCATGAAAAACCTGCCAGAAAATCACTGACAGCAGTCAATCACCTGTGCCCTGAGAGAGAGAGATTATCAACATTTAAGCATCTTTTCTTCCAGATTTTGTAAACACATAGAGGCATTTATACTTCGTCTGCAGATCCATTTCTCTATCATTCCCTCCTCTGGGAATTTATCTTAAGGAGATTAGATGCGAAGGTGTTTACTAAAGTGTTAACTATTAAGAGGGAAATTTGAAAACCAAACAACGGAAGGGGTGTTTGCATAATGAGGGGGCGTGGCACCCTGGCACACTAGACAGCTGTTAGCAACACCTCCGTTTTCTAACGTGAAAAGATGTCCCTGAGGTATCTATCAGGTGGAAAAACCAAACTTGTAAGCAACATGTGCTAGAAGCCCCATTATAAGGTATGAGCACCCCGGGAACACCCCACCCCACTCCCCAAGCTCCCTCCCAGGGGCAGTTGGCATGAGGGGCAACTCAGTCTCAGATCTAGGGGATGGTTCTCAGTTCTGGGTCTTCCCGAGAGTTTCAACTTCTCCGTGGACCCCCACGGTCCCCCACCCCGGTCAGTGGGCATTCGTAATCCTCAGTCAGCTGCTCAGGGCCCACCACCAGCCTCTCCCCCACACTGGGTCCAAAGTGATTTTATCCACATCTCAGGGCCTCTGTTTCATGTCAGACCCTCTCAAATTTCCCTTCAAATGTAAAAAAATTCTTCCAGCCTGTGGTGCTTTAACAGATCAAGAGAAGTTTCATATTATTTATGCATATAAATACATATAAATATACTTGTTCACATGCCAGGTAAGCATAGGAAAATACCACATGGCCCAGCAAACACGAGGACAGTCACAGAATTCAACGTGGGTGGCCATGATGGTGGTGATGACTTTCCTACAACGAATGTGATGAATTGTGCAGTTTGAAAACCACAGTCACTTCGGAGGAAGTTCTGGGCCCCTGTGGGCCTGGGTCTCCACTCCAGGCTGGGTTCTGCTGGCTGCATGGGCCTCCTGCCCCTCAAGTGGGGGCCCCTCCCCTGGCCTGTCCCTGGTGAGACCCTGGTACCCACCCCATCCCTATCGTCCTCTTCCTCCACAGGTGGCGGTGCTGACAGCCACCGAGCGGGCAGTGCCCCCAACCCCAGCTGCCCCCGAGGACCCCGCCCCGCTCTGGGGCTCCCCAGCTGCCCAGGGCAGCCCTGGGGATGGAGGCTTCCGAGGTGAGTGGGCCAGCGCAGAACACAGTCCCACAGGGGAATGAGTTTGGGGAGTGAGGTTCCAGCCCCCTCCCTGCTGCTGACTCCCAGCTTGACCCCTTGTGGGCCTAAGGGGTTGTCTCCTGAGCACTGGAGTCCTGGTGGAACTGGGAGCAGGAACGCTGGTGACACTGCCTTCCCCACCCCAGGGCTCCCGGGAGCCAGAGAAAATGCGAGGGCCCCGCTGCTCCCTGGAGATGGTAGGTGCTGGCTGAGGGTGGGCCCGGGGCGGGCAGGAGCAAGGCCGGGGCTGCGGACCTGATGAACCTTCTCCCCCAGATCGAGCTGGTGCCCGGGGGCTTCCTGGGCCCACTGGCCCGAAGGGAGATCCTGGCAGCCGGGGCCCAACGGGCATGAGAGGCCCGCCAGGTGAGTGCCCAAAGCCCTGCCCCCTCCAGCTCCCCTGGCCGCTCCCACAGGTGGACCCAGACTGGGGCCTTCCTTCCCCGACCCTGCCACAGTCAGCCGTGGCCCGGGCCCCTTCTGCTCCCTTGTCTCTCAGCTTACCAGCCCTCCAAGGGCCCCCTCTCCTGCCTGGGCTCCCCAGACTCTCTTTTGCATCCCCCGGCCTGTCCTCCCTGGGCACCTATCCCCAGGGGGTGGGTCAGACCAGACCCTGACCTCCTGGGGCTCGCAGACTGGGGAGGCTAGGGAGGCTGGGCCTAGGCAGAGGAGAAACAGCGTCCACCCCGTGTGACCAGGGTTCTTATGGGGGTGTTGCCAGTATGGGAGTCCCAGGGAAGGAAGCCCAGACCCAGCCTCCCTGCGGGGGTGGGGGGGCTTCCAGGGGGAGTGACATCTTAGATGAGGCCTCAGGCACATGCCAGGCAGCGCAAAGGGAGAGCTGATAGAGGACGCGACTCATGCAAAAACCTGGAAGGGAGAGGAGAATTTTCTGGAAATCAACATCTGCTAAGCACTTACTGTATACCAAATGTCCACTGTCCTGGAGCCCCAGGAGAGGGCTGTGTTCATCCCCCACATAAATGGCCAGGAAGTCAGAGCCAGGACCTGCCCTGGCCTGTGGCCTCTGGAGCCCTCATGTGCCTGCTGCCCCAGGCCACCTGGTCCCCCTCTCCTTGCAGCCTCCCTGGGCCACTGTGCCTTCTGCACACCCACCAGACCCCCTGGTTTCATTGCAGGTCTGCAGGGCCCCCCAGGGAGCCCTGGCCAGGCTGGAGCTGTGGGCACCCCTGGAGAGAGGGGACCTCCAGGCCCCCCGGGGCCTCCAGGGCCTCCTGGCCCCCCAGCCCCTGTTGGACCACCCTACGCCCGGATCTCCCAACATGGTGAGTCCCTCGGGGTCACAGCAGGTCGAGGTGGTGGTGGAGTGGGGCTGGCATGACTGTCTACCAGACACCTCCTGTATACCAGGCTTGCCCTCGGGCTGCATGTCACCTAATCCTCTGATGGGTGCTCCCTGATGAGGAAAACCAAGGCCCAGAGAGGGGACGTCACACAGTCAGGACATGGGGGGCCCGGCTTCAAATCCATGCCGCCTCAAGAGCTTGTGCTGGGAACCACCAGCATCCAGCCCTCCCACCAAGCCTTGGAGCTGTCCAGGGTGCAGCCCTCAGAGCACCAGGAAGCTCAAGGCCTGGCCACGGGAAGTAAGCCCTGAATGCCGAAGGCCACAGCCTTGCCCTTGTGCTTAGAGAGGCCCAGCCCCTCCACCCAGCTGGGCCCTGAGGGCATCCTTCACCTTCTCTGAAGCCTGACCTACATGCCTGCTGCCAGGGGTCAAGGGCTTTGAGTGCCAGGTTCAACCGCATCTGCGGCACATCTTTGGTGCATGGCCGGGCACCATTCATTCATCTTCCCATTCATCCTCCCACTCTGAGCCTCAGCTTCCCCATCTGTACGATGGGGACAGTGACCGTGCGGGCCTCCCAGAGCTCTGTGACACCATGCACAGCAGCTTGGCACAAAGTAGGTGCCATAAAATGGTAGCTTTAATTATTGTCCCCATTAGACATGTGACAGGCTCAGCAAGGGAGAGTTCTGCTCAATGTCACTGGCTAGATTCTGGCAGAGTTAGAATCCAGGCCTCCCTGCCTCCTGGTCCAGTATGGCCGACAGTCCCCCCAGTCCCCTTCCATCCACCTTGGAGCAGGTGTCCAGTGGCCCCAGCCACACTGCAGGCTGTCCCACAGGGCAGGAGTGGCAGGTTAAAACTGACTGCCCACTCTGCCTGGCCAGCCCAGCCCTGTTCAGCCATCATCTTTTCTCCCCCAGGGGACCCATTCCTGTCCAACACCTTCACTGAGACCAGCAGCCACTGGCCCCAGGGACCGGCCGGCCCCCCAGGGCCCATGGGTAAGTTGAGTCCAGGTCTAGGGTGCGGGGCAGGGCTGAGGGATGGCAGAGAGACCGGGGCTGGCTGGCAGGAGGGAGCTGGTGGTGGACTTTCTGGCATTGCACTGTTTTGGTCCTGAGGACATCCTGTCTTGTTCCAGGTCCTCCTGGACCTCCTGGTCCCATGGGCATCCCTGGGAGTCCTGGACACATGGTGAGTATGTCTCCAAGTACTCCATCCATCTGTCCATCCATCTACCCACCCACCCAACCCACCAATCTATTCACATGGTTACCCACCCACCCATCTATCCATCATCTATTCATCCATCCTTTCATTCATTCATTCAAGCATTTATGGAGAACTTAATATACAGACTACTTTTCATAAATCTTCTTATTCAATCCATGTAACAAGAAGCAAGTATTGTTATCACCTAAGGCCAAGAAAGGTGGAGATTCTTGCTGTTCGGCTGGGGCCAGCATGTGGCAGCTTCCCCACTGTGTGCTGGGCATTGGGTGTGTGGTGAAGGACCCAGGGGTCCAAGCCAAGCTGGGGCTCCCTCCCACACCTCCCTGTCCCCTGAGTCCCTGCCCACTCTACCTGGCCCCAGCGCAAGGCTGAGGTCCTGTCTTGTTGCTCAGGGACCTCCAGGCCCCTCTGGACCCAAAGGAATCTCTGGCCACCCAGGAGAGAAGGGCGAGAGAGTGAGTATTGAGGTGGCTTTGGGTGGGGGATTCTGGGGAGTCCTGGGGACCCTGGGTCAGACCCTCTGACAGCTGACTCCATTCCTCTCCTCTCCTGTACAGGGACTGCGTGGGGAGCCCGGCCCTCAAGGCTCCATGGGGCAGCGGGTAAGTGATGTTGCCCAGCCTGGATCCCACAGGCCCAGACCCCTGCTCTGGCTCCATCCCCTGTGGCCAGAGCCCCTGACCTTCCCTGTCTGGTCCAGGTCCTGTATGGCCCATCTCCTTTCTTGCCCCCTGTCTCAGGGTCCCATCAGCCTCTTAGAATCAGGCCTCTCCGTCTCCTTCACTCCTGCTCTGTGTCTCTGTACCTGTTTCTCTTTCTCTGTCATTACCTCTGTCTGCATCTCTCTGACTCTTATTTTCCTCTCCATCTCTCCAGCTAGGATTGTAGATTGGCTATTTCTCCCTTTAGTTTGGTCAGTTTTTGCTTCATGTACTTTCAAACTCTGTTATTAGGTGCATACATATTCAAGATTGTAATGTCTTCTTGGTCCTTTTATCTTTGTGAGGTGGATAGCTTTCCCTCTGAAAATAATCTTTGTCTTGAATTCTACTTTGTTTAATATTAAAACAGCCACACCTGTGGCTGTGGGGATGGTTATAGCTCAGTGGTAGAGCACATGCTTAGAATGCATGAGGTCCTGGGTTCAATCCTCAGTACCTCCATTAAAAAAAATAATAAATAAATAGCCATACCAGCTTTCTTACACTTTGTTTTGCATGGCGTATCTTTTCCAGTCCTTTTGCTTTTGAGTCATCGGTTTTTCCTTTTTCTGGGGTGGGGGAGGTAATTAGGTTTATTATTTATTTTCAGAGGAGGTACTGGGAATTGAACCCAGGACCTTGTGTGTGCTAAGCATGCGCTCTGTCACCGAGCTATACCCTCCCCACAAGTCTTTCCA